TAGTGCTGTCTGTTTGGACGGATGTATTGGCGAAGCTTTCCTCGGTTGATGGTTGCTTCTCAGTTGTAGGATCCAGCCTCGAATTCTGGCTTCAGGGACTGTGGGGGATTTAGGGGTTGAGGGTTTCAGGGCTGTCGGGTCACTCTGCAATGCAAGCACGCTGTCTGAGAAATTTAAACGAAAGATCTCTCACCCAGAAGAGCCTATACCTGGATCCCGGAATCACGATTGGGGGTCTTAGCTTGGGCCTTACCACATGAGCTTCACTTACACTACCAAACTGGTCAACCTAACCTGGCTGCAGGAAGGCTTCGGTGCCTCGAAACTCTAAATCCGAGACCGGACCTGCGCCAACTCGCTGTTGTTGAAACACGAGATGCTCGGCATAAGGAAGGCGGCTGTCCGCAGAAATCGGGCGCCTCGGCAATTCGTGGAGTGCTCTGTTGCCCGTCTGCTTCGTGTTTAGCGGTTGTAGTCGTGGTCGTCGTCGTCGTCGTCGTCGTCCTCGTCGTCGTCGCAACAGCAGCAGCAGCAGCAGCAGCAGCAGCAGCAGCAGCAGCAGCAGCAGCAGCAGCAGCAGCAGCAGCCGTAGCTGGAGTAGTGGCACTGCCGTGGCCGCATGATCGGTGGGTATCGTTGTCGGCGGTGGGGGTCGTGATGAAGGCGCCACTCTTACTTCTGGCAATTCTGCAACTACGGGTATGTCATGGGGAACCTGATCGCCTTTTAGCTTTGCAAGGTATGGCAGAATTTTTCCGGTCGAAGGCCAAGGATGGTGCTGAGGGGATTGCAAAACCATGCGTGCAAGACCGGAACAATGAGCTGCGGAATTTGGGGCCGAGAAATTTAAACCTAGAGTTTAAGGTTTAAGGTTGGGTACTACCCCCCCATATAACAATCCAGAAGAAAGCGACTACTAATGGCTTCATGTATTTACAAGGATAAACTAACAGTATTCAATTGCTGCTGAGCAGGGGCAGCATTCAAGTGTCAGGCTTGGTCGAAGGCATCCTTGTGACGGTGCTATTCCATGCCCCATCTGTGCACGGACTGGTACCCCGTCCCCGATACCCGATGCTGGGTCCTGAATCGAAACGAAAGTGTAGGGTTACTGGTTGAGGGCAATACAGTACATGCATGTACTTGCCATGGGTCGAGGGTATAGGGTTTCAGACCTTCGAAGCAGAAGACAGAAAGAACATCATCCTCATGCCTGGTAAGGTTAAGGCAAGGTTTAGAACATCCAGCACCATTAATGCCGAACCAATGTTGCAACTTTCTGCGGGTCATCCTATTCACGGTTTTGGGGTTGTGGATTACATAACGAAGCCGCCTACGACAGTAGGGACAACAAGAGGGATCCCAAGGATTTCATGTCCATGAAATATGGGTCTACAACGTAGAAGCCTACATAGCTCGCATTCTCAATCGTTCTTAATACAGTCCCTACGAGTATAGTATCAAAAACCTCATAGCCAAGATCTAACTCTAACTGTTTAGGCCGCTTTTTGATCGTCACCCTCCTAAACCCCTCGTTGTCGAACCCTCAGTTTGCGGAACCCTACTTAAAAGAACACCAGTTGAATATTAACGCCCAAACATTAACCCCTAAAGCCTGAACCCCCAAACCCTAAACCCCAAACTCCGAAACTCCCAAACTAAGGGTTCGTGTGGTGAATCCTCGACCCAGAGGACAGAAGTCCGAACCCTCAGGACCAGGTTGCCGCTCGCAGTACGCGTCAGCAGTGCCCTGTGCAATGGGCAATGGCAGGGTACGCTTGGGATCTTCACCATTCACGTCACCATCATCATCACTACCATGTTCATCTAGGCAATTGCCACTATCGTCGCCATCATAACAACCGTCATGAGTGTCATCAAAGCCGTCATTTTGAACACACCACAACAATCCGAAACAACTGATAATCGCCGACCACATTTGACTCCTCTATGTTACATGTGGAACACAGTTTAACATACTCAGTTCCAGCCCCGAAAGCGAGCTACAAGCTGACCCTCATTCCTGTCATCAGCACCCTGACACTGCCAGCCGATGCGAGTATCAGTCCAAGTTTGCGTGAGCACTGTGCTCCGATTCGTTGTGGCTGTTACAGTAGAGACAGACATAGTTCCTGACTGTGCCAGCAACGCTCTAATCATATGTTATCGCGCTGCACGAAAAAGCGCACCCTCACGGCAGAACTAGCATTGCTTGGGCCTTCTTGTGCTGAGTGAATGGGAATAGTTCCCAGGTTGATGGTGGTTTCGCCGGGGCCGGCGCGAGAAGGTGTGCTGCGAGATCACCTCCTATCACGAAAACTGAGGCTCTTCCCCCTTAACCCTAAACCCTAAACCATCCTAAACACTAAACCGGACGTGTCGCCGTTCTGAGACCTCGGCCATGGTTTTCTCGATTCCTACAAACGCACATCCCTACAACGTAACATCCTGCTATTTAATAAGGTTCGGGGTTTAGGGATTAGGGGTTCTTTAG